GAATTATAATTGTAAATATATTTTAGACGATTCTTTGAATGAAAGATAATTATAAAAATAATATATTACAAATTGTAATTGTAAACGTATATTGGACAATTTATTGGATGAAAAATAATGACAGAAATATAAAAGATAGTACATCATTAATTACAATTGCAGATATATTTACGAAGATTTTTATTGGGTGAAAATAAAGAATGAAACATAACATATTACTAAATTATAATTACAATAACAAAAGATAATATATTATTAAGTCACGATTATAAATATATTTCACACGATTGATTAAATGACAAACATAAAAGACAGTACAGTATAAGTTATAATTTAGAAATTCTAAAATAAATGAAAAATGTAGAGATGTCTTCGTCTTGGAGAAACTAAATTTCGAATGCCTCGAGAAAATTGTAGCTTTTCAATTAGTTATTACGCGTAAACGAAATTTTACAAACTTTACCTATTTCTCTCGACAACTCGAGTTATTTCATTTTACCATTTCGTTTTTCCATTGATCTGAACGTGAAAATAATTCGTGTTCAAGAAACTAAATTTCTTCCTGTGGTGTTTTGCATTTTCACAACTCGAACAGGTTCGCAAACTCAAAAATTTCACCATCGATCGGTTCGAAGACGAATCAATGCGTTCGTCGTTCTCAGGTGAAAACCGACTTAGGGAATCGCTTTATTCGAAGCTTGCGTAGGATATTGCGCGAGTGGATACACGAACGATACGATTACGAAAAATCGATTACGACCGGCGAACGAGGGTGCTTTTGAGGGAAAATTGAATTCCTTTGTTGCTCGATGTGCGACTCAATGTGTAGGTATATATATATATATACACACATCCACCGTTTGTTAAGAAAATATTCGATTCAGATCGTCTGTTCAGCTTTTAAATGCGCGGAGATCGAGCGAAGAATAATTAAACGTATTCCAATGAAATGTTTTACGACGTCCGGGATTTCGACTTTCATATTCAAAATTTTAAAACATCTCTGTTTGTTTGTAAAAGTGACATTAAAATTAATAGAAATGTAGATACTTGTTTTTGTTATTATTATATTATTATATAATATATTTATGTTGTATTTGTTTTATAATATTATATAATATATAATAATATATTATTATATAATATAATATATTTATATTATAATATTATATTTACTATATTATTATAATTATTGTATAACATAATATTTATTATTTTATAATTATTATATATTATATGATGTAGTATTGTTAATATTATTTTATTATATTTCTTCAACCTAAATTTAGGAGGAAAGATAGATAATATATTTATATTATATTTATTTTGTAATATTATATAATATATAATAATATATTATTATATAATATAATATATTTATATTATAATATTATATTTACTATATTATTATAATTATTGTATATTGTAATATTTATTATTTTATAATTATTATATATTATATGATGTAGTATTGTTAATATTATTTTATTATATTCCTTCAACCTAAATTTAGGAGGAAAGATAGATAATATATTTATATTATATTTGTTTTGTAATATTATATAATATATAATAATATATTATTATATAATATAATATAATATAATATTATTATATAATATAATATATTTATATTATAATATTATATTTACTATATTATTATAATTATTGTATAATATAATATTTATTATTTTATCATTATTATATATTATATGATATAGTACTATTAATATTATTTTATTATATTTCTTCAACCTAAATTTAGGAGGAAAGATTTTCTCATAACTGAGAATTTAAATTTCCTCCGACGTTTCCTGATTTTTCTGAGATTCTCTTTCCGTCGTTTTATTCAACGTTCAAGAAATCCTAAGACTTCGTCGTTCAATGTACATTAAAATGGAGAAAAAGATCGGACAGCAAGTTTTCACGTGTCGTTGCAAAGGGGAAACCTCGGTCTTCAAGACGGTGGTGGATTTAATCACGAAGATAATTTCTCAACGTTCGAGTTTTAACAATTTTCCAGAGTAAACGTATTCTTACTTTTAAAGTCAGATATAAAAATCAGAGGGTTTATGCTTTAAAATAAACCAAACGAATTGTTAACGTAGCAATTTTTTGCTATTAGTAACGCAAGAATCTACAACTGTTCGAATTATAAATTGTCGTTTGAAATCGACGAGAAAGCAACGCGTCGATTCCCGCGAGAATCGCAGCCGGCATTGATATTTCCTAAATCGATCTTCGCGAAATCGGCGCGTTCGATTGAAGTTTCGAACCGATCCTGTCTTCAGCGCGTATCAACGTTGCCGTGAATATCATGGGATTCGAAGTTTCCGCCGCGGTTTCCCGCCGCTGTAAACTAGCGTTATCGCCTGTGAAAATCGCCGAGAAAGTTGAAAAATAGAAAACCACGCTCGTACAGATGCGCACAATGTTTCGGCTGAAAAATGGAATTTCGTTCGCTTGATTTGAAACGATAAACGATGCTCGACAGTGACGTGAGATTGTCCGAAGAATTCTGTCTCGAATCTTTGAAAGCGAGAAGGTAAACTAGCGGTTCAAACTTAATACTTTCCGTTGGAGTGAGAGTATTGTTCATTTATGCAGAAACACTTCAAATTGAGCTTAAACTACAAAAAATATTATGTAAAATATTAATATCGTTCATATAAAATCATGTATACTATATAGTGTATAATTCTATGATATAACTAATATTATACAGTATGTATAATATTGACAATATAATACAATGTAATAATATCTTATAATATAATATTATAGTACACAGTATTTAATATAATATAAAATATATAATACAACATAATATATATTGTAGACTATGCTATATTATACAGTATACATAATAAACAGTACAATACAATATAATGCAATATAATAATATAATATAACATTCAGTATGTGATACAATATAATATGTATTCTATCTATGTTACACAATATAGTAGACAATGTAATATAATTGTAATAAAATGTATACAATTGTTATACAATGTGACACAATAATATAATAAATATTGTATATTGTATATTGAATATATGTAATGTAATATAATATTAAAATATACAGTATATAATACAACATATTGGTGCATACATTGTATAACATCTATGTAATACATCTATATAATACAATGTAATAAACTACACAATACATAATATTACAATAAATATTAGAATATATAATGTAATGTACAATGTATAATATAATATAATACTACAACGCACAGTATATAATGTAATGCAATATAATATTACAATAAATTATATAATACAACATAATATATATTGTACAATAAACAGTACAATAATAATTGCAATGTAACATAATATTACAGTACACAGTATATAGTAGAATGTATTATGAATGTAATATGTGTATATAATACAATATTAAAAGATATTAAAATATATAATATAACGTAATATACAACATATAATGCAATATAGTATAATATTGTGTAATACGTTTGTATAATAAACGATATAATACAATATAATGTACATTGCGTATAATAATTATACAATATAATATATATATTGCATACAATAATTACATACTTACATAATATAATAACAATATATTTAATGTATAATATTATGCAATATACAATATAATTAAATACGTGCGATAAATTATATATATTATACATTATACTATAATAATTAAATTTTATTATAATTATAAATTACATATTACACATATTACATATAATTACATATTGTATAATACACATAATATATACAAACAATACACTACAGTGTGACACCGTAATACCAAGTAACACAGTAAATGCTGGACTGGGATCTCCCCATCAAACGTTCCGAATCCTCGGGCACAGAGCGAGTCCAACGAGTCGCAACAATCCTGCGAAACTCCGACCTTGCTCCGGGACGCGGTATCATCGCGGCTTGACATCCAATAACGCTGGAACATCGGTTCGTAACAGGCGGTTGTCCCGGACCTACGTACACGTATATATCGTCAGATAGTGAACAATCGGGTGGACAGGGGGAGAGCCGATACGCGTTTAAGTGGCGCGGCGGCGGGATCCGTGATTCCAGCAGAAGCTACAACCACGTGTAACGCGTGGTGACGGTCCGCGGGGCCTGGCGTTCATGCATAAAACATGAGCGCGCGCCGCTGCCCTGTGCCTCGAATCGGAATTATTTACCGTGGTTAGCCGGACTCGGCTGGAATTACTGCGTGGCCGTGTCTCGTCGCGGAATCGTCGAAACGTGTGCGTCCCACGAACTCGAAGACACGAGGCACGTGTACGAGGCTCGCGATGATCCAGAGATACACGGGAGGGCGGTACAGCGGAGAGTGAAGTTGTGAAGTTTGCTCAAGTGCTTCGTTGTTGATCGAGAGATGATAAAATTATCTGAAAATTTCGTATCTGTATCTATGTATATATATATATATATACAGGGTGGTTTCGAAGTGAGTGGTTTCGCTACCTTAATTAAAAAAATTTTGCCCAATATGAATGGTATCCGAAACGCTGATAACTGGTAAGAATATTTTTTCAACGACTTTTCAAGGTCATTTTTTTCGTATAACTGTATATATATATATATATATATATATATATATATATATGTATGTAACTGTGTATATATATATATATATGTAATACTAATTGTAATATTATGTAATAATACTATGTAACTGTAATACTATGTAATATATGTAATACTGTGTATATATATATACTAATATATATTATATACTAATACTATATAATATATACTAATATATATATATATATATATATATATATATATTATTATGTCGCATAGCTGATGAAAAAGTCAGCTATATGTGCAGATATATGTATATAAAGAACATGACCTTGAAGATTTAAGTTTTACGTATAACTTACCTCTAAAATTAAATTTTTTTTCAAATTTTCAAATTTGAATTTTTCTTTTTAAATTTAATTGGTTTCTTTTTTTATTTTGGGATCTACACTCCGATGATTTACAATGATTTGCAAGAGGACGTTTCTTCATATTTAACAATTAAGTGAAAAAAGATTCATAAAATGAAATATAATAATTTATTATATTTTCGTACAATTTATCGAATTGAATGAATCTTAAATTTTATATTAAATTCATTCTCTTTTTTTCTAACTTCAAACTCTATCCATTGATTCAATAATTTGCAACGAATTCGAAGTTTCTTGAAAAACGTTCTCAATTAAATGAGGAATCCCTTCTTTCAATCGTTGCGTGACATAAGATTGGTTTTCCAATTTTACTGAAAATGTAAAGTCAAAATTGTCAAAATTCGTAGATCCCAAACAAGAGAAAGGGAAACTTTTATTTTTCAAGAAACGCCCTTATTCCTAAGAAACCTTCGTATCTTTAAAACAATCTTCAAGAAACCTTCCTATCTTCAAAACATATCTTCAAGAAACCTTCGTACTTTCAAAACCAATCTTCAAGAAGGAAACGAAAAAGCCGATTCCTTAGCCAGAGAAGCAACGACAGACCGAACAAAAGAAGCCAACATCCCAATCCCAAACTACCAAGACCTACTAGCTTCAACGACCAAAACAGAAAGAGAAGAATGGAGCAGAATTTGGACTACGACAAATAGAACCAAAATACACGACATAGCACACCATCTCTACTAAAAACTACCAAACAACAATATAAGCAGTAAAGAAAGGATAGCTATGACTAGACTTCGAATCGGACACTCTAAGATCACACATGGATACTTCCTAAGCAAAACAGAACCACCTTTCTGCAACACCAACAAATCACCACCTGCTACATGAATGCAGAAAATACCGAAATATAAGAAGTAAATACTGATTAAACCAAAACACCGCTCTAACCTGCCAGAAACAACAAAAAAACATTATCAATTATCCAACTTCTAGACCAGTTATGAAAAAATAATTCCAGCACGTCGCTAAAGACCTCGTAGTCGATGCGACTCTAAATTCCCATAAAAAAAAAAAAAAAAAAATCTTCAAGAAACCTTTGTACCTTCAAAACAAATCTTCAGGAAACCTTCGTACCTTCAACAGAAATCTTCAAGAAACCTTCGTACCTTCAAAGAAACGTTAGAAAAAAAAAATGATCCTCGTGAACGACGCATTACAAGGACGCGGAATTTCGTCGCGATCGCTCGTTGTCGAACATTCGTCACTTCCGCGATGTGTACAAAGAGGATCGGCAACGATCGATCTTCGTCCACCGACGAGATAGATAGATAGATAGAGAGAGAGAGAGAGAGAGAGCACAGCAGCTTGTAATGATAAATCAGTCGCTCAATAACACGACGCTGATAACGTGTACCACGAGCGTTTTACGCGGCGCTCGCGATCGATCGATCGATCGATCGATCGCCTTCAGTGCGTAATGGAACGTGCGCGCATTATCGTGCCGGACGCTGGTATTACGCTGTTATCTGTCGCCGGCGCGTTGCTCCTTTTGTTGGCGTGTCGCGGCCGCCACGACAGTTTATGGCCAATTTCGATTCTCCCTTCTTTCAGCTGGCGCGTTTGCATCGTGGGAGAGAGCGCGGTGACACGGCAGGAAGGCAATTTCATTATGGGAGATCGACTATCGTCTCTCCTTCTGACTCATTAACGGATAACCAATCGTTTCACTGTCACTGTGTTCGTTAACTGTGTCAAACGCCATCTGATTAACGATTTATAATTAATACAGGATATTAAAATCACGATTGCCGATTTCTATAGTAATAATCGGAAGTGATTGAATTTTTGATGATCAGTAATTTGGTAATCGTTGGAGATGGTTGTATCGTTTACTTCTGCGTATATTTTGTTGAAACTGTTGTTATTTTATTTCATTGTTACTATTTCTATTTTATTATTACGATAGAGTTGTCGTTACTGATTTTATCATCGTGAAACTGTTATTACTAATCCGGGGTTTTTTGTCAAAGGACATCTCTTTATTTTTACAAAATTACTCTAAAACGTTCGAATATTAAATTAAACAAGTTACTCGCAGTTTAACAAAAAATATTAACGCGCTGAACTGTCAATGAACTGTGACTCGAAAATATCAGGAAAAAGATATTTTCCTCGTAATTAATATTGATCTCTGTTCGGCTAAAAACATAATTGTTTCATTGAAAATTTGCAACGTCGCATTGGGATCCTTCTGTTGAGTCGCGAAGAACGAATATAAACGTGGACCTGGAATTATTTGCAATGAAAGTTTTGAAAGGGGACGGACATGATTTCGGAGTGAGAGAAAATATTAAGTAAAGAGTTTCACACGTGCAGTTTCTCGATGGACAAGTGAGCGAAGAAGAGTTTTTCACCTACGTTTTTCGCCGTTGCGTTACGTTCCTCCGCTCTTATTATTTTTCAACGTGACGGCGTGTGTTGAGAAACGGAGAGCGAAACCTGATAAAGAAATATTACACGTAAGCCACCGTAAAGCCAGCGCGCGAATTTACAGGCCGCTGTGGCGTATTGCTTTCTTTATTAAGAATTTCAAGCACGGAGATTGGATATTATCACGCCTCGTCGCGATCCTTACCGATTTATTATGTTAGATTGTCGCATACGACCAGTTATCACACGCACGAGCGAAAATTTTTATTTTGTAGTATCTGACAACCTTACCACGGATTTTGTTTCTGTTACAGCGACATTTGAGAAAACAAACTTTGCGGAGAAACTCGATTTGCAAAAGGGTTATTTTCGAATTAATTTACAGCAAAGAAACGAGTATGATCTACCAAAAAAAATTGATTTATAGTGCAGAAGGGTGAATATCATCAACAAAAGGGTTAGTTTACAATGCAAAAAAAGTTTACAGTGCAAAAAGGGTCAACTTATAGTTAATTTACTGCGAAAGGCTCAATTTACAATTAATTCATAGCAAAAGGAAGAATATAATCTGCAAAAGGGTAAATATGACCTAAAAAAAGGTTAATTTACAGTGAAAAAGGGTCAACTTACAGTTAATTTACAGCGAAAGGGTTAATTAATAACTAATTTATAATGAAAGGGTGAATATGACCTACAAAAGGATTAGTTTACAATGCAAAAAAGTTTACAGTGCAAAAAGGTTAATTAACTTACAATTAATTTGTTGCGAAAGGATTAATTTACAATTGATTTACAGCAAAAGGGTGAATATAACCTATAAATAGTTAGTTCACAGTGAAAAAGAATTAGTTTACAGTACAAAAGGATTGATTTACAGCAAAAGAGAGAGTATAACCTACAAAAGTGTTAATTTACAGTTGATTTACTGCAGAAGGGTTAATTTACAATTAATTTACAGCAAAAAGTTGAATGTGACATGCAAAGGGGTTAATTTACAATTAATTTACAGCAAAATGGTGAATATGACCTACAAAAGGATTAGTTTACAATGCAAAAAAAGTTTACAGTGCAAAAAGGTTAATTAACTTACAATTAATTTGTTGCGAAAGGATTAATTTACAATTGATTTACAGCAAAAGGGTGAATATAACCTATAAATAGTTAGTTCACAGTGAAAAAGAATTAGTTTACAGTACAAAAGGATTGATTTACAGCAAAAGAGAGAATATAACCTACAAAAGTGTTAATTTACAGTTGATTTACTGCAGAAGGGTTAATTTACAATTAATTTACAGCAAAAAGTTGGATGTGACATGCAAAGGGGTTAATTTACAATTAATTTACAGCAAAATGGTGAATATCACCTACAAAAGGGGTAGTTTACAATGCAAAAAAAGTTTACAGTGCAAAAAGGTTAATTAACTTACAATTAATTTGTTGCGAAAGGATTAATTTACAATTGATTTACAGCAAAAGGGTGAATATATCCTACAAATAGTTAGTTTACAATAAAAAAGAATTAGTTTACAGTACAAAAGGGTTGATTTAGAGCAAAAGAGTGAATATAGCCTGCAAAAGTATTAATTTACAGTTAATTTACTGCAGAAGGGTTAATTTACAATTAATTTACAGCAAAAGGTTGGACGTGGCATGCAAAGGTGTTAATTTAGAATTAATTTACAGCAAAAGGGTAAATATGAGCTACAAAAGGGTTAGTTCACAATGAACAAAAAGAATTAGTTTACAGTGCAAAAGTGTTGATTTACAGGGAAAGAGTGAATATAACCTGCAAAAGTATTAATTTACAGTTGATTTACTGCAAAAGGGTCAATGTACAATTAATTTGCAGCAAAAGGGTGAATACAACCTGAGAAAGGATTAGTTTACAATTCAAATGGTTGACTGTGAACTGCAAAAGAATTGATTTATAATGGGTGAATATGACCTACAAATAATTAGTTCACAATGAAAAAGAATTAGTTTATTGTGCAAAAGGGTTAATTTACAGTTAATTTACAGCAAAAAGGTGAAAATGACCTGAAAAATCTTCAACACTTTGGAGGGATCGAGAGCCTCCAATTAAAAAGAAAGAACGTTGTGTCTGATCGTTGCTTCTTAATAAAAAAAAACCGTGTGTCCCTAATAACTCTGCTTTTTATATATATATTCATATATAAAAGCAACAGGGTCCGCACTCGGTTCGTGGGTTTCGATGATTTCACCGGCGTAAGAACCAGACCAGATCTCCAGAGGGCTTACAGGTTTAACAGCGGTTTCGAGATCTACCGGGTCTCTCAGGATCTCCGAAGGCCCCTCGAGGATCAGTAGGTTCTTCGCGGTCTTCGAGAATTGCAGCATCTCCGAGGTGTTAGGGTTCTCCGAGGTCTTCGGGGCGTAAAGGGTTTCTGAAGTTTCTGTGGTCTTTAGCAGTCCCCACTCCCCCAGAGTCCTCGGAATCCGCGAGCCTTGAAATACTTCACGGCGAAAGAGCTTGTTACGTTCGATGCTGCACGTGTACTACGTGAAATATTCGAGTTGAAGGAATATTCGGAATATCTGGTCGCTGTTTACTTTCATTAGTCAGATCGATGAACTGTAACAACGATGGTAATAATAGTAATTGATGACTGGCAGTACGTGTTAACGATACTCTGTATCGGATGTAATATTTCATTAATCAGGTCGACGATGATTAATAATAATAATCGACAACTGGCAACGTTTCTCGCGGACGTAATTTCAGAAATGCCAAAATTCTCGAAAATGTTGCATACAGCGTGTATTCGAAAATTTACAAAATATTTTTTATTTGATTATTCTAGGGAACCTGTTCTAAGCAGAGAGCCATTTTATCTTCTTTTAAAATGTTAATAACATTGTAATATTAATATAAATATCGAATTATTATTAATACTATTTTTTAAATCTTTAATATTTTTTTTAAATCTGTTATAGCTCGACAATCTTGAAGAAGAAATTCTAATAGAATCATTTTACATTTCAAATATTGGTAATATTATAGTATTAATATTGACATTATGTTATCGTTGTTAATATCATTATTGATATTTATTGTTTAAAATTTCATATTCGTCAATTTCGAAAAAACAAATTCTTAATAGGTTCATTTTAGTGTGTACATGTAACATAAGGATTATCATTAATATTATTCAAACAAAATTTTGCTAAAGAACAAATTCATTTAATATTACAATATTAATTATCGTTAATAATATATAACGAGTGCTGTATCTTGAATATCTTATATAGTTTTTATGTTTCTTTGCACCATAAAATTTCCTGCAAATATACGAAAATCCACGTACAATTAATTACCAAGAAAATTCATCGCTGATTACAGATTTACCGCTAATAACGGATTCAGTGTCAACGAAATCGACGACGGCGGCAAAGCGATCGGTACCGACGGACGCGCCGATGTTGAACTACATATTCGATGCGCACAGCACGCTGAACAAGCATCAACATCATCACGATCATCGGTGGGGCCCTCATTTCGAGGGCGAGAGCAAGAACATGACCGTGCAGGCTGGCGGCAGCGCCATACTCGACTGCAGGATATCCCTGCTACAGGATAAAACCGTGAGTGTCTTCTCATTCGTATCTTTATCGACTGTTGCCTGTTCGAAATTGTCTAGAAAGTTTTTCTTTTTTCTGCAAAATTTTGAGACGTATCTTAATCAAAATTACTGATGAATCTATAAGGAAACTAATTGTAATAGTTTTATTGTTAGTTGAAGTTTTATCGACTGTTGCCTGTTCGAAACTGTCTAGAAAGTTTTTCTTTTTTCTGCAAAATTTTGAGACGTATCTTAATCAAAATTATTGATGAATCTATAAGGAAACTAATTGTAATAGTTTTATTGTTAGTTGAAGTTTTAGTAATATTAATATTTAATATTTTATTAATATTTAACATTAATATAGTATTGTATTAATATTTAATATTTAGTATTATATTAATAGTATTACATTACATCACATTATATTACATTAATATAATATTGTATTAATATTTAATATTTATATTAAAGTAAGTAACGTAATATTTAATATTATATTATATTAATATTACATTATATTACATTACATTACATTGATATAATATTGTATTAATATTAAAGTAATATTTAATATTATATTAATATTACATTACATTACATTATACTACATTAATATAATATTGTATTAATATTTAATATTTAATATTAAATATTATATTATATTAATATTACATTACATTACATTATATTACATTAGTATAATATTGTATTAATATTAAAGTAATATTTAATATTCTATTAATATTACATTACATTACATTACATTAATATAATATTGTATTAATATTAAAGTAATATTTAATATTATATTAATATTATATTACATTACATTATACTATATTAATATAATTAATTAATATTTAATATTTTATACATTAATATTATTATTTAATAAAATATTAATATTTAATTAATATTAAAGTTTAGTTATATAATAGTTTAATTAGAAAGGTGCGGACGAACCATTAAAAATGTATTTTAATTAGGAAATTGAATTTTTTAATAATTTTTGTAACATTATTAGTTGTATGTAATGGCAGATCATGACAATTGATTGTTTCTGTCTTTTAATAAATAAATAAATTGCAGAAACTACAATAAGGACATTATAATTATAATTATACTTTGATCTCCAAATTTTGAAACTTAGTAAATATTTTTTTACTAATATTTGAAACTTAGTAAATATTTTTTACTAACAGAAGAAGCTGTTATTTCTTTTAAACCTTGACGTGATCTATTTTTGATTGCTGGTATGAAAACAATAACTTTATATATATATATATATTAATTATAAAAAATTTTAGAAAGAACTAAAATGATCTTTAAATTAATATTATATTATAATTTTATAATATTATAAATAATAAAATTAAATTAAAAATGAAACTTAAAATAAATATCTTAATGACAAAATATTTATGAATTTTTAATAAATTTAAATTAAAAATTGTGAATTTACGACGAATTTAAAAAAAAAAGTTCACAAAAATGCTCACAATATTCGCGTAATATGCAAAAGTATGTATACAAAATATTCAAAGAAAAAAAGAGTAATAATTATAATAATAATATATAGTTATATTCGTGAAAAATCTCAAAATGCAAATATCTATCGAGATGTAATATCCTCAAAGACCCAAACAGAGTCGATTTATAACACGTTCCTCGTTTCCTTTTTTTTTTGCACGTTTGACGCTCGATCGCGAGACATTGAAAAATTCTCATACGAAACGAAAGCGTCTCGGTTAACCACGGCAAACAATAGCCTGGCCGCTTTGAGTCGACCGTGAACCAAAATGGCTACTGAAACAACACAAGCGAACGCAGCGCCACGCACAGAGGCAACACGAGACAAAAACACGCAAAGTATGTACAGGTCGTGGGAAATTTATGGTAATGCATGGAGATCGCATGCAGATGTATGGAGAACACTTTATAATATGCAAAAGTGGGCGAAAGCTCCTGTACATTCCCACTTGGACAAGCGATGTCTCCCTTCGTGCATCTTCGCATGAACTCTCCTTGCGTTTTCCACATCCTTTGCGACGTTTTTGCATATGTCTCGCGCAGTTTGATAGTCGGCGCCTCGCGATACTTTCGTACAGCAGAGTTTGCCCTCTCGCAGGAAATTAGAAGGTCGATAGAAGTCACGACTGGTTCATCTCCGCGAGGACGATCTGTTCTAATTAATTTCTTCGCGCTCGACGGGAAGTCGTGACAACAAGACGCGTCCGTTTGCCGGAGTAATCACGTCGTTCGAATTAATTCAATATCCCGCGTGATTACACGTGTCTCGGCCAGGTTGGGCTACGAATTGCTCTCGCAGAGGCAGTTCGCGTTTTATATTCGCTGAACTCTGGTACGAACTGAAGACACAAAATACGTGACTTAAGTTGGTCAATATAAAACAATTAATATAGAGTAAATAATATTTATATATAATATTTGTATATAATAAATATTTATATATAATATTTGTATATCATAAATATTTACATATAATATTTGTATATAATAAATATTTACATATGATATTTGTATATAATAAATATTTACATATGATATTTGTATATAATAAATATTTACATATGATATTTGTATATAATAAATATTTACATATAATATTTGTATATAATAAATATTTACATTTAATATTTATATATAATATTTGTATATAATAAATATTTACATATAATATTTGTATATAATAAATATTTACATATAATATTTATATATAATAAAAACTGATTGAAAGTATTAATGTGTAGATAAAAATGTCTATTGAAGCAATAGTAAATTCGCGCAGCTATTTACGAAACTTTTACAATGATAATTCCAATAGTTACTACGTAAGTAATAGTTATTTTTCACACGCAATTGCCACTTCGATTGTCCCATCAAAGATAGTTTTGCAATGGGTATTAAAATTGAGAGAATTTTAGAAAATACAGTCTGTTATTAATACTTTTGTTCAATTATAATCTATCGTATCGCTGAACAACTAACTACAGATTTCGTATAGTAAATTCTTTCGTGCAAAATTTGTGAATAGAATTACAAAAGATTGATATATTTAAGTAGGTATTACAGTGGACGGTACATTTTAAATGTTTTGTACATATTTTTATATGTTACGTTAGATTGGATTTTTCAATTTTACATACTTATTATAATGTATCCTACGTGCATTAATTTCCGGATAGAAGAATGTGAAATAGCAGAAATATTAATGGTTCTATTAATATAATAGTAAAAACGATCCTAATGATATATCCTCAATAAAATACACACAATATTAATTAGAAGAATTTTATACAATATAACTTTAATCTTAATTCTATATGCATGTAATATCAATTATTATATTATTTAGTAATTTATATTATATCATCAATTATTCTATTCATTTTATATTAATTTCACATACCTAGTAAAAGAAACCACTTTCAAAACAACTGATTACTTGAGAGAATTTTCAGTCGTTGGCTCGATAAAAGGCAGAGAGCGAGAGTCATAGTCAGCCCTTCGTTAGTTTCTTCTGCGAGAGTCAGCTGAAAATGTTGCAAACGTTGCAACATAATACTCAGATGGAGGAAATGTTGCAAACGAGAAACACGCTGATGGTAAAAAGTAATGCGCTGCTGAAAATGATGCACCTAGTGCGCGAAACATATGCTCGCGTATATAGAATGCCAGTATTTTCATTAAAATTAAGCAACAGTATCGCTTGAATCTTCATGCTAGATTTTTGCCCAAGTAACATGATTCGCATCTGTATAATATTTTTATTAGCAATTTTAGAAATGTCAGATATTATTAATTGACCTTGTCGTTTTTTTTTTAACAATTCAAAATTAATCAATGCCTTTTGAAATATATAATTTAGATACTTTTCTAATTCACATGGTTCGTGTAAAATATATAGTAAAAATTGTAGTTTAGCACTATGCTAATTTAAAAATTATTGTTATTATTATTTTATATATATATATGTATATATATAAAGAGAGAGATGTATAATAGTTTGAACAAATTGTATCTTTTTTTGGAGGGAGGAAGGGTCAAAATTAATAGAATATCTTACATTAGGAAAAACACATGAATGGTTAAAGAACTACATTTTCACAATCATATTTTTACGATTTTAAACAACTTATAATCACAGTTACATAATAATAAATAATAATAATTATATAATAGTAACAATAATAAAAGAATGCACGAAAATGATAATTTTATATAAATCTGCAACTTAATGTAATATAATAATTTATTATTTGAATTAATAATAATATAATTTGTTCCAGTTATAAATCTGTATAAAATTATATAGTTGCATATATATAATAATAACAAAAAAATATATGTATATAATAATATAATAATAATAATTAATATAGTATAATAATATAATATATATAATAATATAGTAATATAGTATAGTAATATAATATAGTAATAATATAATATATATAATAATAGCATATATATTATATATATTATATATATTATATATATTATATGTATTATATATATTATAATATATATAATAATAGCATATATATAATAATAATAACAATAGTTGCATATATATTATGATAACAAAAATAATTTTTTTAATCCTTGCAGTTTCATACAAATCTACAACTAGAACGAATCATACTACTTTAATGTAACCATTTATTATTTGAACGTAATATAATTTATTCTACTCACAAATCTACATAAAATTCTTATTTTTACGCGCTTGTACGAAATAACAATAATCCGGCACTTGGACATTTCCAATTAATTCCGCAGTTCCGTAAAACGACTGGCTCCCCAATTATCTCGAAATCTTCCTACGGGCCGATGATGACGTAACTGCTATACAAGCGAATATACACGCGTGTCGTCAGTTGCAAACGAACGGCCCCGATAATTTCAAGACCTATGTCAGACATACACAGAACGACGACATAGCGGGAAGAATATCTTTTCAAGCGAATTTAGCGAAGCTGCATTGAAACAGGGAAACGACGGCGACTAACTCCATGGAAACTCGTCCCGGCCAGTAGTTATATCCTAAAAGCATCGCACTTGGTTGGAACACGGTCGAGCTCGCTTCACCGTAATATTAGGCTATTAATGCCGTTACCGTTTGCTAGCTGTTGCTAACGACGGTGTCTGCTAACGCGATTATCCGTGCATGATTATCTTGAAAGTGCATAACTCGGCTAAGAACGATATTTATTACGCTGCACGATGTTTGGGAGTCGTTGTTTGAGCAATTTCGCCGCCCGGTGTGTGTTTGTCATCTCACGTGTGCTCTTCATCATCAAATCCAATAGTTAACGATACCCGCGCGCGTATTTAGATCATTTGGAGGAAATATTAATAATATAGTTCTAATATATCCCTATAATATATAATATAATTATAATATAATATACATAATGTATAATATATAAAATAATTACAATATAATATACATAATGTATAATATATTATATAATTATAATATAATATGTAATATAATTCGCGTATTTAGATCATTTGGAGAATTATATTAATAATATAATTCTTATATATCCCTGTAATATAATATACATAATATATAAAATAATTATAATATAATATACATAATATATGATATATAATATAACTATAATGTAATATAAATAATATATAATATAATTATAATATAATATGTAATATAATTCCTCTAGGATAAAGAAACATGATTTTTAGAAGAATCAATTTTTCAGAGAATGAAAGATAAAATTTTTAAAAGAACAATATATACTTAATAAATTTGTTTCACTTGCTGGATATTTTATAGGCGCGTTTGTTATTTATTTTTATGCAGTTTGTGCAAAATTGAAAAGTTGTGCCCAGAAAAAGAATCCGTTGCAAAATAAGATAAATTGAATCGAGATAATACTTGTGTATGTGTGGAACTGACTGATTAAAATAAAATAATATTTCTCTCTTAGCTGGGAAACTTTCCAAGAATACTGCAGCCCCTGATTATTGAATTAGGTCACTCGCAAGTTTCAAAGTTTTTAATTGAAAATTGAAGGAACTTCAATTATAAGTTTCAGTGACTATTAAAGTAAAATAATTATTATACGTGACATACATTGTCATTTATTACTGCTGAATATGTATTTTACCGTGAAGGCAAGTTCACTCTTAAACCCTAAACGTAGATTAGTTAATTTAATTTTAAACAAATGAATATAATATATGTAATATAATAGTATAAATTAATATATATATATAATATAATATAGTATAAATTAATAAATGTTACAATATTACAAAATTAATTAATAAATATTACAATATAGTATAAATTAGTATAAAAATATAAAGTTTCTGCGTAGTTTCAAATATGAATACATATATACACTTGCATACAAGATGACTGAAACATTGAAATCACTTATTGATGTTACTCGTAGCTAAATGTAATGGTTTCATCCTCCTCACTATCGAGTGAACTTTTTAATTATTCTTTATAATTAACGATCGAATGCTTTACGCCAAAGTATTAGCACAGTATCATTTGTTTTACTATTATTTTGCATTGTGAGAAGAAAAATCGAAACGATGCACATAATGAAAAAGTGGAAGGTTATCAACTAACAAAATTCATTATCAAATCGCACTTCAGACAGACCTCGATTCTATTTATTTATTCGTTCGTTCTTCGATCATTTTCTTTGTTACTTGTTTGTCGCGACGACAAATTAAAGTCGTCGAAATCCTCATTGAACACCTTGCGCTGCCCAACTGGTTCGCGAACCATAACGAGCGACCGAACCTTATGCAATAAATCGTCGCTTTCTGTTTCTCTCGAACTCGTTGGTACGATATCACTGGATCAAAATTATTAAGAAGTAACAAACTTATCATTTGTTTTACCTGGGTTACGTTTGAAACTGAGAAAATGTTGCAATTTTCGGACGAAAGATTCTCGACGTGCGTGACACGTCACTTCAGCGCAAGAGGTTGAAGAAAAGAAAAAAAAAAGAGGAATTCAACGACGAACAAACGTCACGCGTCGGTGAGAATTTCCTGTCGAGTCTGTTTCGCATATTTCAGCCGGGAGAAAGACGATCGGAAGGAGAGCAATCGATCACGGATCGGTACGGGATCGGATGCGATCGCGCGCATCGTTGATAGCTGTCCATGCGCGGCAATCGACGTTGAACGGATAATAGCGGAGCTTGATATCCATGTCGAAGATGTACGATACCGCGCGCACTTAATGGGAATGCCGGGAAACACTATCCAATTCCAGTTACGTGGATAAACTGCGGATTTCGAGTCCTTGTTTATCGTGGCCGTTTACGGGCTCGAAGCCGTAACGAGCAATCGGACGGCGTCTTCCTTTCCAGTTTTCTGTTTAATCAGTTTAATGAGCATCCGTTTCCTACGTTACGTAAAGTAGTAATTGTAAAAGAGTGTAACTGGCAACGATAATTGGAATGACCTTTATTGAAATGGCACAGTGTGATTTGACAGAGATGTCGATGATGAGCGTTCGAAAACTTTTCTTGGGAAATTTTGTTAAATTACATTGTTGTAATTTGACCAAAGACTTTCATGAGATATGTTTGTTTAAAAGTTTGAGAATTTTTTTCTCAGTTGAGTGGGCAAACAGATATTTCTCATTCGTGAGAAAGTTAAACATACAAAATTGCATACAATATGAAAAGCTATATAAACTATTAGTACAATATATTATAAATATAGATATATATTAAATACAGTATTAGTACAAATATACACTATACGAATATAAAATATAGAATATACAAACAGACAATATACAAATATACAAATATATAAATATACAATATATACAGTATGCAAATATACAATATTAGTACAATATATATTAAATATGTTGTAAATTATAAATATTTTATATATTATTTAATATATTACAAATACAGAATTGCATACGATATGAAAAACTATATAAAATATGAGTACAATATATATTAAATATATACAGTATTAATACAAATATATAAATATAAAATATACAAATATACAAATATACAATATACAATATACAATATATATAGTATGATACAAATGTACAATATTAGTACAATATATATTAAATATATTATAAATTATAAATATTTTATATGTTATTTAATATATTACAAATACAGAATTGCACACGATATGAAAGACTATATAAAATATTAGTACAATATATATTAAATATATACAGTATTAGTACAAATATATAAATATAAAATATACAAATATAAAATATACAAATATACAAATATACAAATATACAATATACAATATATACAGTATTATTCACATGTACATTATTAGTACAATATATATTAAATATATTATAAATTATAAATATTTTATATATTATTTAATATATTACAAATATTTTGTATATTATTTAATTTATTTAATAGATTATAAATACTTTATATAATATATCATATATTAATATAATATTAAACATAATATTTGCTATATAAATATATAATTAAGCATAACAATAATTTTTTGCATATGTGGTTTTTTTTGCAAATTTCAAAATCACTCTTACCATTTTAAATGAAACCATATACTTTTTACTAATCAATACGACCCGACATATTCTTTAGAGAAAGAAATATATTATATATTAGTCTAAATGATATTAGTTTCGGTGATATTACAATCTGAATCCTGTAGAAATTGAACGTTCTGTTTTCCTACGTCGAATTTGCGAAAAGAAAATTCCAAATGACACTTTGTCGTTGCTCTAATCGAATCACCGATTTATGAAATTGCTGCTATTTGAGAGATTTAGTTGCAAACTGACGAGTTCATTCGAATGAAAATTACGATAATCTGCCGACAGGTGTCATGGGTACGTAGACAGGACAACGGGGAAAAGGTGAATCTGCTCACGGTGGAGCATCAGACGTACATCGGTGATCCGAGGTACACGGTGAAGTTCCAATACCCGGATAATTGGCGTCTGCAAATCGAGCCGGTGAACAGTAGCGACGAGGGTCAGTACGAGTGCCAAGTCAGCACTCATCCGCCCAAGTATATTCACGTGAATCTTCACATCAACGGTAAGCACTGAGATAATTACGATCGGGTCTAGAGCACCCGATGAAAGCTAAACTGTCGCGTTACGTAAGCTATACACTCTCGCTCGAGGGCTTTGCGACAAGTGTGCTCGTAATCGTCTATTCTAACCTTGGTCTAAGCTCTCTGTTACGTACGTAGCTCTGTAAAAATGCTGATTTGTTTCATGAATGAACGAATTATTCGAATCGAGATATTTATTTCAGCATTGGAGATATAAATATTTTGTACAGTAAGGGATAAAATAATTTTTTTACATACTCAATATGTTTTATCTCGTTTTATTAGGTCAGGTTTAAATTAGGTTTGGCATATTAACCCTTTGAGTGTTTTATTCTATTAGTGTTTGAAATAATTTATTAAGGAGGATAGTGTATATATAGTGTTGAATAAATATATCAACGGGAATTTGTTTAAAGAGACTTGTTGAGTCTTAATTTGTTACAATCGTTTGATGTTAATCATTATTGCAATCGTCTGTTTGTTACAGTCATTAGATATTGAACTTTCGATTTCATAGCTTTTATATTTTTAATTTTAGATAATAGCTTTAATTTTAATAGCCTTAAAGGGTTTCTGACTCAACAAAGAAAACCTCTGCTGTTTGGACGTTAATATATTAATATTATATATTAATTATTAACTAACATTGTATACTATAACATATAATATATTAACAGAATTGTGAAATAGATGTACTGGTCAAAATTATTGGATTGGATAGATGGTCAAAAATTATTAGATTTATATTATTGTATTTTATATTTGTATACTATATTCATATTCCATATTCTACAATGTTAATATGTCAACAATTCTATTATAAAATATAACCAGTAACTAAAAAATGTACTATTTACAATGAGTGCTGACTATCAGATACGTTGTTGGAAGAAAATTGCACGTATCAAAAAATTATTAAATTATTTAATGTAAATAACTGAAATTGTACATGAAAATAATATATTTATAATATAATATAATATATTTATAATATAATATAATATATATTATAATATATTATAATATAATAATATATAATATATTTATAATATAATAATATATATAATATATTTATAATATAATATATATTATAATATATTTATAATATAATATATATATTATAATATATTTATAATATAATATATATATTATAATATATTTATAATATAATATATATTGTAATATAATAATATATAATATATTAATAACAATTGCATTAATAATACTAATATAAATAATATATGACATTTAATAACATTCTGATCACTATCAGTGGTGATGTTTAATACTTTAGTGATTCATCTGTCTCTAAAAAAAATTAATTGTTTTCTCGATAACTGCATCTTCCATTTTTCCAACTGCAACAAATGATACAACACGAAACGAGTATCTTTCTTAGAAATCACATTCTTTAGTAAATCCAACAATTAAATAACACGCTCATTCTTTCTCGTTTCTCTTCCCTCCATTTCCAAAGGATCGGACGAAACAAAAGTCAGATTATCGACGAAACTTGCCCACGGCTCCTTCCGTTCTACATTCATTCCTCCGCCACGTGCACAACGAGCAATACATATTTGCTCTGTCAACTTCGTTAACTTTGTTTGCCAGTCTGTTTACACAGATTTATTTCTGCTTCGCGCGTTAACGACGCTCATTATCGACTCTTTCCTCTCTGTACTATATGCGCGAAAAAAATGCGGGAAAAAAAAGAGAAGGAACGTTCGATCTTTTTTTTTTTTTTTTTTTTTTAGTATTCGTCGAAACACGCGCACGTCCAGTGATCGAATAGAAGTGAAACGATAACAACGGAGCGCGGCTAAATTGCGGAAAAACGAACGATTGTATCGTGATATGATTGTCGGATTGTTTGAGAGAAGGAAGAGGTGAAAGGGGTGAGTTAAGTGGCCGCCAGGGGACGGGATGGCGAAATTGCCTAGATCTCGTGAACGAATCGTTCGTTCGAGACTTAAGTGGGGGATTTCAATTTTGGGTTTAACCTCCGTTATCCTCCGCTGTGTCGTGCTTTTTTTTCCCCCTGGATAGTTGCAGATTGCTTTTTTTCCAGAGATTAGTGATATTAACGAGATACACGAGACACATCGACTGAGACAAATAACGCGTTAACTCTTAAATGGATTTTCAGTCTTGATTCAGGACCTTCATTGTCTTCGCTGTCGTTCAATTTTTAAAAAGTTACGTATCGCTTTTTTAGAGATTATTACATATTTAATTATATAATTTAAATTATTAAATAATTTATATATATAAATGTAAATATATTACTAAATAATTTATATATATAAATATAAATATATATATATAATAAATTATTTAGTAACTTACTATTTATATTACTAAATATAAATTATTTAATTATATATATATATAATTAACGCGATTAAATCGCTTTTTCAGAACTTATTAATATTTAATAAAACATTTATGATAAATATACAACAAAGTTCTAAGTCTTAAGTTTATGGATTGTCAATTTTGTTTCAACCTTCTTATATTTTTCTCTTCAAGTTAAAAATTAGGAGATCTTGACATTCTTTATTAAAGTCATTTTTTATTAAAAAATTATTGACGAAGGATACTTACAGAATATAACAATTGCTTTGCAACGAAGTTAATATAAGTTGTTATTTAACGAAATGCTCCCTTACCTTAAAACGTAGACCCTCATTTCGAATTAAATTGACCCAGATCTTACGTAACTTATACTGCAATTAAATTCAGAGTTGAACAGTTTAAATTAATTATTCACCAGACTTTGCTTAATTACCACAGATATATTAGAATCGATTTAATTCTATTATTTCAGGTCCCTCCCTCTGTTTTAATGTTTTAAAAAGAAAAAATTTCACCCATCGTAATAACCAAATATCGATCTTATTGCAAAATCAACTCTGTTCAGGGTTATTCAGAGTTCTTGACGACATTTGTGAATGTCAAGGTCATTGGACGTTGTCTCCCTTTAATTATAAATTGTCTTAAATGACATTTTGTTTTTTTCTCTTCATAAATTGCTAATATTTACGAAATATTTAAGTTTTTCCAAAAATCTAGATAATACAGTAATAAGGAGAGAATAGGAATCTATAATTTCAAATTGATCTAATATTTAACTAGTAGACTAAAGAAATAGGATCTAAAGAAAGTTTTTTTTAACTATTTAATTCCTGTGAGAATAGATATATTACAATATATCTATTCTCACAGCAATTTGTAATTCCAAATTGATCCAATATTTCACTAATGGACTAAAGAGATAGATTCTAAAACAATCTTTATCTACTATATACTGTAATATTATGTACTCTAACAGGAATTTGTAATTTCAAATTAATCCAATATTTTACTAACCCTAAGAAACAGAATCTAAAAAGAAATTTGTATATATACTCTACTATATACTATAATGCTCTGTATACTATATTAGTATACTATAATGCTCTATATACTATGTTAGTATACTATAAAGCTCTATATTACTGTATTAGTATACTAAAGCTTTATATTATTATATTACTATATACTACAGTGCTCTATATACTATATTACTATATACTATATTATAATATACTCTATCTTGGATATTTTATAGAAATATTTTTGTACATTATATGCACTGATTGTTAGTGTACGTATTCGTAACTCGTAAATTTCCCATAAATCTCCATGAACTAAAGAAACACAGCGAAACGTCTTTAGAACAGCTTTATTTAGTACAGAAACCGCCATTTATAATTAAAGAGGTAAAATGGCAGCTTTCTTGAAAACATCAAAGAAATTGCCGCATGGTTTATTTATATCGCATTATGTTCCATCTCCTCCGGCACCGGAAACAGGTTGATTTAAATAATTAAAGCTGTCGGTGTTGCACCAAAGACAGTTTCAGGGGGAAAACTCAATTTTACCGTTGCTCCACCAACAACGACGGAATTCCAAGCTCGAGAGATTCCAGAGCTGAAACTGCTACGAACATCTTCGGTTAGACCCTCATCCGCCGGATGTCGGGACGAGCTAGTCATTCTATTAAAGGTGGAACTCCCGTGATCGAATTAATCAACGTGTCATTAGTAGACTGTGGATTCATATTTTTGTGAAAATTATTTAACACGTGAAGTCTAAGCAAACGTTTCTTTTATTGCATATTAAACACTGCGACAGATTTTATATGTTTTATATGTGTCTCACGTGAAGATTGTGAGGACTGTACTATACTATTTATTAGTATACTATTTATTATTAATTAAATTAAGTTTCTTATTAATTAAGTTTAGTTTCTTATTAATTGAATTATTAGTTTAGTGTATTATTAATTTAATTTAGTTTATTAAATTAAATTGGTTTTACATAGCAACCAATTTTATTGTCGAATTAATACTACAATGAATATGATCTATTAGAAGAATGATCTATTAGAAATGACTAACAGTTTGAAATGTATTATACCTTCGCGCCAGGAACAATTTCATAGTCCGTAAAATTTATCTTATTTCAATCTACTAGGTTTTCTTAATTTATTAAATTAGAATTAACTTTGCTTTAGTTTTTTTTAATTTATTAAATTGGAATTAATTTTAATTTAGCTCTTATTAATTTATTGAATTAGAATTAGTTTTTAATTATAATTTCTCAACTTCTGAGCAACGTTGCTCGTCATATATCGAATGATTCGCGCAACTATATCTTTATTTATTTTGATTGATGTTAGGAAACGATATTAAAAACAAATGGATGGATGATATTATAAATTAGAGAAAAAAAAAAAAACGAAATTGGAAGTAGAAGAGGCAGAAGATGAACGATGCGTTTCTTAGAATATTTCGTTGCAATTTTAATAATTAAACTACGGATGTTCGTGCAATTTTTTATGTTTCTGAGAAACTGGAATCCAGGTAGAAAATTGTCGCATAAAAAGCGTTATTATTATAACTGTTTCACCTTTATTTGCATCACAAATACGCGAAAA